CCTTCAGAATGTATGAAAATGGATATTACAAAAATGGGATTTAATGGGATATTATAAAAATGGAATCTAATATAGCTTTCCATTCTTTCAGAATTCAGAATACATAAACATCAATATATCTATACTACAAAAATAGGATTTAATGGAATATTTAAAAAGTGGAATTCAACATAGCTTACCATTCCTTCAGAATGAATGAAATTGAATGTTGAAAAAAAAAGATTTAATGGGATATTACAAAAATAGAATTTAATATAGTTTTCCATTCCTCCAGAATGTATGAAAATGGATATTAGAAAAATGGGATTTAATGGAATGTTATAAAAATGGAATCTAATATAGCTTTCCATTCTTTGAGAATGTAGAAAATGGATATTTAAAAAATGGGATTTAATTGGATATTATAAAAATGGAATCTAATGTAGCTTTTCATTCTTTTAGAATGTATGAAAATGAATATTACAAAAATAGGATTTAATGAGATATTATTTAAATGGAATTTTATATAGCTTACCGTTCTTTGAGAAGGTATGAAAATGGAAATTATGAAATTGGGATTTAATGGTATATGGTAATGGTACAAAAATCGAATCTTATTTAGCATTCCATTTTTTTGGAATATATGAAAATAGATATTACAAAAATCTGATTTAATGGGATATTTTAAAAGCGGAATCTAATATAGCTTTCTATTCTTTTAGAATGTAAGAAAATGGATATTATAAAAATGAGATTTAATGGGATATCATTAAAAAGAGATCTAATATAGTTTTGAGAATCTATAAAAGTGGAAATTATAAAAATGGGATTTAATGATACTATGTGGTAATGATACGAAAATGGAATCTAATTTAGCCTCCCATTCTTTTAGAATGGATGAAAATGGATATTACAAAAATGAGATTTAATTAGATATTACAAAAATGGAATATAATTTAGCTTTCCATTAGTTAAGAATATGTGAAATGAACAGCGTATGATAAGGTTGATGAATTTTGTATATCATTAATTGCTCTTGTTTTGAAAAAGAAAAATTAATACAATCATTATTTAGTTTTCCCTAAGACTTTTTTGACGACTACTAAGCTAGACGACTAAGACTTTATTGAAAAAAAAAATTTGAAAACATTCTAGCATTAAAATGAATTGTTGATGTTGAATTAAAATAAATGCAATTATCTACAATGAAAAATGTTATTCAATTAAATGTTTTTGCTTTAAAAATAAATTATTAAATTTGAGTCATTTATGATAATTTATAATTATATTAACTTACTTGAGCTACATCATTTAATAAATATTATAATGGTTAGATATTGACAAGCAAATTAGAAATTTTATATTAAGTAAATGGGCTTGATAGTTCATACATACATTTCTATCTAACATAAATAAAAGTATTGAGGGAGCGGTTTTGAGAATTGCTTTTTTTTTCAAAAGGGGTGACGATGAGATCATAGCAATGCTTTTATAAGACTCTTAAAACGTTAATTTTGTTGTATGCAAACCTATATTTTTTATTTGAATTTAATTCTAAAATTCCTAAAATTGGATTACTTAAGTAAAAATATAAATTCGAGCAAAAGGTGATAGGGGTGTTATGACCTTATTTACAAGCTTATTGAGGGGTTCTGGTTTGCTTATTTTTCGTGATAAGTGGGGTGGGGAGTTCAAAATATCAACAACAAAAAAAACGTTCTTAAATAATATTAGGAAAGCCCGTTATGCTTTTGCATCATAAAGTGTTTCTCGTGGAAAAGTTTTAAGTTTTTTTTATTACGTAATTCATTAAATTCGCTCCTATCTGTTTGTGATTTGCTTATTTTTGCTTATACGGGAGGAGAAGGAGTACGAGAAATGCTTATGTAAGATTCAAATATTCCTTTATTCTCTTTCTTTTTAAACTAATAAAATAAAATATTTATACATACTAATATTTTCTCCTAACTATTTGGGATTATCCATAATACCGTAAAGGCATTTGTCAGTACGTGTTTACGTGTTTTTTATCTTTAAATGCTTATCTTCTAGGCAACATAATTGTTATTTAAAATAGCGTTCCTTATCAAATACAGTTGCTTTTTCGCCTAATTCATTACATCGCTTATGATAGTATTTAGCTAATTAGTTATTCCAAAATATTTTTTTTCTTCTCTTGGTCAATACTAACTTATCATAAAAATTCTTAAATTAGATATTTAGCATCACAATTAAGAAATGGCATATCTTTAAACTCTTTTGAATAGAGTGTTTGTCAGTTTAAATAAGAAGAGAGTAATATAAATTTTACAATTTAAAATTTAGAAATGTTAGGTTATTGTAGAGAGGAAAATCAGGTGTGGTTGGAGTTGCATGATATAATTGACTAACTGAAGATTGTGATGAAAACAGGATAATAAAATTTGACAATTGAAGATGAAAACTGGATCATAATAAAACTTTCATTTAGTAGTATTTGTAGAGCTCGAGACCCAAAATTATATTTTTATCCATAGGACTTTAAGTTGTATAAATTTTGCATAATAATATTAATAAGGACAGGCCATGGGAGACAATTCCCCCGTGGCCTGCCTAATCAAACGCCAAATTAAAAAGCCAAATTGTAATGTTCCCAACAGACATTAGAATCAAGAGAAGAGATCCATAGTTGGTGATTTATCGAAAAATAACAAAGCCAAAAACAAAGCGAACCCCCCATAATCAATATTAGGTTTGAAAAATACCTTGGCGATCGCGAATCGCCAACAAGACTGTAAGAATTATTATAACCATGCAATTGAAACATATTTGTGGTAAGAAATTAATAATAAAGAGTTATAAATAGATTTTGTTTTCAATTAAACGCGGCAGTGGATTAATGAGTCTACATTAGTATTGAAATAAAAAGTTAGACGTTACAATGATGGATAAGAAAAGAATAAATATCACTTTAAGTAAAAATTAACTAATTGAATTAATTTAAATATAATTCGATTAAGAATGATTAAAAAAATTTAAGTTTTTAGTAATTAAAGATATTTTAAAAGTTAGGAAATATGTAATGTCAATTGTGACATCACAGTTATAATAAAATATGCTTTTTGATACCAGTCACTCATTAAATTTTTTGAGCATTTAGATAACTTGTTAAATTTCATGATGTTGTAAATTTTCATATCAAGTTACCAAAATTTTCTACTTTCAGGAAAGCACTCTGCATATTGTCTTACACGAAGCAATACACAGCACGTTAATATAAACGAATTAAACAAGAAATTTTGCATATAAATTATATATAAAGTAGACAAAAATTTATCTGTAATTTATATGTAATTTTAAGAAATGCAACCAACTATTTTAAAAATTTTATTTAAATACATAATCAGTATGACATTAGGTTTACTCATTATTTGAAATAACAGTTTTTAGCGAGCGATAGATTATTTTCATTAATTTTCTGCTTTCATAACTGTTATGTTTTGTTTTGGCTATCTTCAGCCTGCAACTTCTACACTTTTAAAATTTTCATACTAAAATTATGGTAAAATAATCGGCGGCAGACTGTCTATCCAATTAACAGTAAAATTTACAGTAAAGAAAACTTGTTACCTTTACGGTTTTGAAACCGTTTACAACTGGGATAGTTTTTTTTTTTTTTTTTTTTTTTTTTTTTTTTTTTTTTTTTTTTTTTNTTTTTTTTTTTTTTTTAACCATTTGCAGCTAGCATAGTTTTAAAACCGTAAGAAAATTTAACTAGACATAGGAGCTAGGCTTTTCGTTAGGTTATAGGCATGGGAGAGTGCAGGACACAAATTGAGGAGTACCAAACATTGAAACTCCTCAGGTGTTAAAGAGAATGGAGGAAGTATTGTGATGTAAGCGCTGGGACACGAAACCCAGTTCTGTCGGTCATGAGTTATTTTTCATTGTTTGGGTTGAAAAAATATAAACAGTGAGAGTAATTTTTTGATTTTGATGATTGGTTACTTTTGTAAAAATTGTTAATAGTTTTCCTCTTTCTTAAGTACGCAATCTATTTGCCCGTATTCAAGTTAAGACAATTCCTTTTAGCAAGGTAATATATATTGTATAAAATTAATTCGAATTTGAGGTATTCAAAATGCGATCTTTTTTTCTTTTCCTTGGCGAAAATACCTTGAAAAACATCCTTGTGTTACATGGTAATCATTACCAGAAATATTAAAGCAGTATGGTAATTAAAGAGAATGTTTATTCATAATGACCTTCTAGAAATTCTTGTAAGAATATGGAAAGAGAAAATTTTACGTAATAAGTTTATGAAATTCGGGATGGATGGACATAAGAGGATCAGAACGAAATAAACAAATTTATGGTATACCTATATAAGGAACCAGACATTGTAACTATGAGAATAAAAATAATCCAGTGGTTGGGATATATCTTAACAATAGACTCGGCAATAAGTGTTAAAAGAATATTAAACCAAGTAAAAGAAAAAAGATATGGGGAAAAAAACAAGATTTAGAGGAAGATCTAGAACTACACTGTCTAAAATTCTGGTAAAAAGAACAGCCACTCGTGGGGCTTTTGTCACAAAATCCATCTTTACCGGAACATGTTACGGAACAAAAAATCTGATATATCGTGATTTTTACAGAAATTATTACAATAAAACCACTGAATCACTGTAAATAAATAAATACCACTGTAAAATCTACGGTATAATATTCTACGTTAAAATTGGATTTTACTGTAAAATGAACTTTATGGGTGATGCAACTAAAGTATCGGTACTTTATACGGTACTTTATACCGTACTTTGACATGACATTTTTTGCCGAATAAGTCGAAGGAACAAATTGGTGAAGACTTGAAATTGCTTAAAATTATCAACTTTAAAAAAAGGATCCCGACGGAAAAGAATTTTCCAAAATCTTTAAGGAAACTTGGGCCTTGCAAAGGGGCAGGTTGATGAACCTTTTTTCGTTTGCTTTGAAGAAAAGGAGGAGAGGGCAGAAAAAAAGAAAAAGATAACTTACCACCATTGGTCCGGGAAGTCTCTTTTGCGGTCGCATAAGAGGTCTGTTCATTCCATTCATTTTACTGTACAGTCCACAAGCATTGCACAAATAATGTCCAGTACCGTCCCTTCTCCACAGTGGGGTAGATATTGCCCCACAATTCACGCATTCACGTTCCTCGTTGAGGCTGAAGTAATCCCCACGATCTGGAACCATAAAAAAATTAACTATTAAACTAGTTTTTTATCTGTAGCTATTATAATTGTAAATAAATTAATTTATACACTAAAGAAACCGTCATCAAAAAGAAAAACTTTTTTTTTCAACATATATTCCTTTTATTCTTATGTGTTGATAGTTAAGAAAGTGTCATTTTTAGTATGCAATTTCGTCTTAATTTTTTTTTTAAATTTATTCATTCATTTATTTATTTTTTGAACAATACGAATGAATTTTATGATGGAAATATCTCTGTTATTGCAAATTACAAGAAGGAATTCGATTTTTAAAGAAAGCTTGCCTTTTTTAGCATTTTGTTAGAATTGATAACCAACAGTTTATTAAATGTAACTTTAAAATTAATTTTAATTAAAAAAGTTTATAAAGAAAGAGTTTTTAAAAAAAGTCTAGCCTTTTTTGAATAATTTTTTTTTTAAATTTTGACCAACAGTTAATTAAATTCAACTTTTAAATTCAGTTTTTTTTTAATTATAATTTTTTCTAAATTTTTTGCTATTTTTTCTTCTTATTTTTTTTAAAATTTTTTTTCTCATTTTTATTTTTTCTCATTTATTATATGTTAAAATTAGCGTACATTGAAGATTTCGAATACAACATATTCAAAATATGTAACGCTTTATAGCTATGGTTCCCAAATGACGATCCTTGGAACCTTATGGTTCCCTGAAAGATTCTCCAAGTTCCGATAGTTAGGATTTTTTTTAGTAATGATTGTTAAAATCTGTAATAATATTTATAATCAATTAATCATCCATTATTTATTAATTATTTTTGTAATTTATCTGTAATTATTTTAGTAAAATGCCATTAAAAAAAAGTCAACTTAAAAAAATTATTACTTTTTCTCTAACAATATAACAAATAAATTATGAAAAGGATATGTATTTATAAAACAATCCATCAAAATTTCTCATCAAAATTTTCAATCCAAAATAAAATAAGAAAATTAAGATCTAATGCATTATTTTTCTCTTCTAACTATTCTCTCCACATTTATATTAGTTTCTTTTTTCATTTCTTTTCAATTTGTGCATACTTCAAGAACAAATTTAGTTGCCGCTCCAGACCTGTGAATTTAATTATCTGACATAAATCTAATTTTAAAACTATTGTTGATAAAACAAAAAACTATTTCGTTCTTCTCATTAATTATTAAAATAAAACAGTAGTCTTTTCTTTGGTTACTAATAAAAATCCGCAAATTTTTTTTCCTCTCATTTAGATTCAATTACCGAAAAAATTTGAGAACTTTTGATTTATAGAATACTTAAAAGCATAGCATTTTCAACATTTTAATCTGCAGTGCACTTTTTTAAGAATTTCAACTGATCCTTTCAGTCTTTTCAAAAAATTGCTTCAACTTACTTTTATGAACTTTAATTCTTTTAGAGTTGCGTAACTATTAATTTAGATTATGAGTTAAATAAAATCGCTTCAACTTACTTTGATGTTACTTCAACTTTCATTTAGAGTTACGTAACAATTCATTTAGATTATGAATTAAATAAAATCGCTTCAACTTACTTTCATGAGTAATTTTATGACTCAACTTTCTTTTAGAGTTGCTTAACTATTAATTTAGATTATGAGTTAAATAAAATCGCTTCAACTATCTTCATGAGTAATTTTATGACTCAACTTTCTTTTAGAGATGCTTAACTATTAATTTAGATTATGAGTTAAATAAAATCGCTTCAACTCATTTTTATGAACTTTAATTCTTTTAGAGCTGCATAACTATTAATTTAGATTATGAGTTAAATAAAATTGAAATTTAATGAGTTAAAAATAAATAATATTCAATTATGAAATCAATAATTATTATAAATGCACATAAATAATTAAATCAGAGATAATTTATTAATGAAATCATAAACTTATACATCTCACCATAAGGAAATTTCATCTGTCAAATGTGTCAAAAAAGTGGGTGTGAATGGTAAGAAAGTAATATTTTTGGTAGACTTGTATTATTCGATATCACATTAAATCAATTATTTTTAGAATAAATTTAAAACACGTGAATCAAATAAGGCTTTCACCTCTAACTTCTTTCCCTTATTTAACAATCACAAATATACCTAGATGACATTGAAAATATTTTCAATAATTTATGTCACGCATTGACATTTTTCTTTTTCTTCCTTAATCCGTCAAAAAGCATCGCATTTTTCACGTTTATTTTTTTTTTCTTTAAAAGAAACAAAACAAATTTAAGTGTGATGTAGATGTATCGAGTTACGTCACGCAACATCGACTTGCGCAGTTTTCTCACATCTTTGTTGTGCGCAACATTTGTTTTTTGATCATCAAATAGAGACAGAATATGATGCAGATGTCCGGTCACGCATATATGCACCGAAATATGTGACGTCACGCCTCATATGAAAGCTAATTATGAATAACGAAGCGAAGAACACAGGAGGAAGAGGAGAAAATATTAGCGTCACAAAACACTCATTATTCTGAAAATTGAATTTTTAATTTTTGATAAACTGTGACTTGAATTTTACGAAGGATAGTTGATATTTACTGAAAAAAGTCAACCATAACGGATATTAATCTTAGTCTTTTTAAAATAATTTTCACTGAAGTGATAATGTAAAATTCAAATATATTGTTAGTTAAATCAACAGTATTTATTTTCGATATGAATAACAATGCAAGCTAACTTAATAAAACTTATGATCATTATGATATTAATGTAAAAGGTTTAATGTAAAATTAATGATAACGATAGTAAAAGAATACAAAATATTTAATTCTAAATTGACACATTCACAATTGGTTAGGATTAAAAATACTTGCAATAACGTTGAAAGTTTTCAGGAGGCTGTGAATAATTTTTTGAATAATTTGAGTAATAATGATTTTCCTTTTAACTTTTGTAATGTTCATTTTTTGATTAAGAAAATGATTGAAGAATTTATTTCTTTTAACAGGGCGCAATTCAGGTCTTAACTGAGCAGCGCTAGTTAAGCATTATATTAATTTGTTACGTAATCTTCTCTTTTTTTCAATCTGCGCATTTTAATAGAGGTTTCTTTTGTTTTAAGTGTTTCTTTTGCATTTAGTTTGCTTGTGAAATCGCTGTTTTTTAATGTGAGTTTTTATTTTCGCAAGTTTTTGTTTGAATTTCTTTTCTGAATTGGTTTTATGTATTTCATGTATTTTTCTGGACAAAACCTTCGAGAGAGCACTGAGAGAGTTACTTTTGGCATTTATTTTTGCCTCTCTCTCAATAGAAAAGGTTTTGTTTTATGACTTCCGAGGCCGGTACCTCCAGAAGACGACGGCTTCGGTGGTCATATTTTTATTTCTTTCTTTTTCTATATTACTAATGATAACGATTCATTTTTGTGTGAAGAACTTAAATGTGAAATTATTAAGGACAGTTTAATGTGAAGGACTAGTGATAGATTTAATCTAAAGACCTTGGCGAACAAGCTAAAGACAGTGAAACCTCTAAGTAGCGACCACTCTCCGTTCCACAGTAAAAAAGTTGTTGATGGAGGTTGGTCGCTTTTGCAGGTTACCTCCATTGACTTCAAAATTGTTATCAAAGGTGCATGATTTTTCGAATAGGATTTTTTTTTTTTTTGGTCAGTGTCATTTTTTTGGTGCGGAATTGTCACTTCTGTTGGCGTCATAAAAAGACGGATCAAGGAATAAAATTTAGCGTCTATAAAAATGATACCAACTGATATAATTATGTGAAAAAACAAATTTACCAGTTATGAATGATGAAGCTATTTTAAATAAGTAAACAATTATATTTTTTGTTTAAGTAATTATTTTAGTTTTATATCACAAAAATTAGTTAGCTTTAAAAGATGAGAAGAAGTTTGTTTAAGATGCTTATTTTTTTCCTTCTAAAATAACTTTTTTTTCTAATTTAAGTTTCAACTCTAAAATCAAATCATGGTCCTTAGTGCACTCTGATTGCAACTTGAGGTTGTATGGGCAAAAAGAGCTCTCGAAATTAGAGTCTCACCCAAATATTTTGAATAGATTTTAATTTACATAGTTTTTTTGTTAAATTTCTCATTTTGAAATTTTTCTGTGTTTCCTTATCTGACCTTTTCCGCATTTGGCGCAGATGTTTGCCTGGTCACAGGGAAAGGTTTTAATGATCTCTATTAAAGGTTTTCTTCAACGTAAAGTCTATGGAAAAAATCCGTGCCTCCCAGAAGTGGTCGTAAATAGAAGTGGTCCTTCCTGGAGGTTTCACCCTGATAGCTTAAGAGGACACTATACCGCGGGAGGTATTTTTCATCGCAAATTGTCCCTCACCTCCATAAGTAATTTAAAATATAGAAAAAGGGAGTTCTGGAAAAGTCATGAAGTTTCAATTGCTGAAAACAAAATTTTCAAGATATCAAAATGCGATCAAATTATTAGAAAAGTTTACCCTTGCGTAGTTCTTAATCTTAATCGCAATCTTAAGTTTTCCCCTCATAATTGTTTTCTTTTATTTTAAAAATTTCGTTTCAGTACTTGAAGCTTCGCGGCTTACTCTAGACTTGTCTGAACTCCCTTTTTCTATTATTTAAATTCTAAATTGCTTATGGAGGTGAAAGATAATTTGCGATGAAAAAGTTCTACTGTGGTATAGCGCTTCTTTAATGTGAAACTAGTGATAGTGATAGATTTAATATGAAGAGCTAATGATAATGACAACTTCAATGTGAAGGGTGATAGTTGTGAAGAGCCGTAAAATAAATAATTATAAGTCCGTTGAAAAAGTGATCGTAAATCGTTTTTAAATAGTTAAAGGTCTTTATTGCTCTCTGATTGCAACATGAGATTGTATCGCCAAAAAAGAGCTCTCTAAATTAGAGTATCACACAAATATTTTGAATAGATATTAATTTACGTTTACGTTTTGATATTTTTTCGTCTTTCCTTATTTGACATTTTCCGCATTTGGTGCAAATGTTTACCCAAATGCGGAAATTTGGGCAAA